ATGCTTTAAATATTTGTGTTAAAATTAAATTCGGTCAAAAATTACGTGTCTACATAATACAAAATACCTTGATCAGTTTTGTATATAATATTTCAATGTACAAACAACTATATACATATCATTCAAACATGTAATTCTTATAAATTGATATGAATCTTTCATTCTAATTTTGAACAACTTGTAATCAGATAAGAAAGAAACATTTTTTAAAAAAAGAGTATGAAAAACTAAGAAGTATAATACATATACAATTGTTGATGAAAGAAAAAAAATAGATTCATAGGTTACGTGCGAAAATTAAGAACAAGACGGAAGGAAGAATGTGAATTTTTATCGTATTTTAAATTCAAAATAAAGCGGAGGAGTGAGTTTAGGAGAAAGATATGTAATGAGGATATAAGAGATAAAATTGATTTTGTATAAATTTATATATAAAATTATAAATAGGTATTTCACTATTGGTATACAAATAGGTGGTGGTCCCATTAATTATGAAAAAGAATAAAACTATTATTATTGAGGGTAAATAAATTAAACTATACCCTTATTAATTAATTACTTAGTTTTGTTTGTCACCCCATGTAGTGTTCCTTTTAAAATATTAGGGTACGTCTGAACTTACCAAAAATAATAATCTGTAGACAAAAAGATAGTATTAGTTGTTGGACATGTAATGCCGCTTCTTTCCCACAAGGATTATCTCACATGCAATATAATACAACATTGCACTTATTGTACCATGTGAAGTCAAAATACTAAAGTAAATTTGTATTACTTACTAATATTACATTTCTGCCCGAATTAGGTATGAACTCACCTTATGCCTATATAGAACTGATATAAATTATTTCTCCAAATTTTGGGTGGTCTAAAGTAAATATTTTTTATTTTTATGGTATATTTTGCTCATGGAAATTTGTTCCACTAAGTCAACTTTCGCTAATATAACTAATCTTACATTGACAAGATCAGCCAACTTTAACCTATCCAATTCAGTCAATCAAATATTAGGTTAATATGTTGCACATATGAATCCATAAGAAACCTTATTAAAATATTCCAATTGGGTTGTAAAACTTCATTTCAAAATCTAAGCTAACTTATCCTATTTTTTCTATCGACCTTAATGATCTTTAGACATGTGATATAAGTTGTCGAACATGTAAATTGGCTTATTGCCAACAAAGTTATCCCTCCAATCCCAAAACAAGAGAATAATGTAACTTGACGCTTACTAATGTACTAAAAGTCAAAATGGTGCCATAATATTTAATAGAGTAAATTTCTAATAGATACTAGTATAATCTTTTGGACCACCAACTTTGAGGGGATTGAACTACAGAGTTATTGTAGTATTTCTCAGTATAACTTATTTACACAACATATAGTGGAACAAATAAGACATATATTATAACCAAAAGATGTGGTGTAATGGATAGACTGCTTCTTCCTTAATTAGAGTTCTCATGTTCCATCCTTGGATATGAAAAAAATGTTGCTTGGGAGCACTTTTCCCTAAATCTGACCCTATGTGGCGTAACGTTTGTACCAGAAACCGAATGGAAAATAAAAAAATTACATATTGCTAGAGTGGTAAATTATTGTATAAAGATGTACTAAATTTATTCATCGTAGTCAAGTTAGGCTCAGCATTTAGCCATATATTTACTAGGTCGTTTTCTCAATGTCACTAATCCAAAAATGTGGAAATGTATGTTACCCAAACTAACCCACTAGAAACCTTTTAAAATATTCAATTTCGATGGTAAAATTTCATTGAAGAATAATAGGGTACTTCTCTTTATTGGTTGATCCACATCAATAGTACTCTAAGTTATTGACCAGAATAGTGCCTATAAAGTTAGTTATTTCCTGAACTTCTTGGTCAAGTTTTACTCTGTATTGACCTGCCTTCACAATATCACCTCACTGTGACTCATCTTAAATAGGGATATTATATAGCCCATTTTTTAATAAAAAGGAGAAAATCGTATATAATGACAAACAAATAAATTAAATTAAATACTATAACCACACATTGATTTAATTGTGCCCTGTAACAAACTGTTTATCAGTCACCTCCCTCTCTCAAACTCTCGCTCGCTCCATCTCTCGCTCGCTCCCTCTCACTTTTATACAAACACAAATTTATAAAATGTGTTTATATTTGTATAAAGTTAGAAAAATTATATGTATACATATATTTTTGTTCCCTTCTCCCACATCTCGCTTGTCACCCTCGCCTCTATCGCTTATACAAACAAAAACGAAATGAATAAATTATATTTATGTATGTATAAAGCGAGAAAAAGTTATATATATACTCGTGAAAATATATATATCTTCGTCCTATACACTTATAATTATACAATATAAATATTTCCTTTCCCAATATTCCTTTATGTTTCTTTCTTTCTCGTTTTATATATACACAAATTATACAATTGATTTGTATACAACTCCTTTTTTTTATATATGTATAACGAATTATACAATTGGTTTCATTGTATATGTATAGAGAATTATAGAATTGATTTTTTGTATATGTATAGAAAATTATCATATTTATGTTTGCTATGCAGCACAAGTAACTTTGTTATATCATAGAAATATAAATCTTTTATTTGTTATATGGGAAAGTTGCTCAAAAATAAATAGATGGGCAAGCCTTTAAATTGAAGTAGGACCAAACAACCAAGACCAGGCCCAAAAAGGAACTCCGTCCAAGAACTGAAATCTACCCTACTCTAAATTAGGAAGAAAAAAAAGAGACAACTTACGAAAGGGAAAAGGGGACCGGGTCATCTTCTACAGCTCAAACCCTAGACTAGGAAAGGGGATGATATTTTGCATCAGCATTTTGTGCTCCAACTTTGGGAACCTTCACCAACAACATGAAACGCCTCAATTTGTACATCACAATTTTGGTATATTTCATATCGAATGTTAATTATTCTCACTAACATCATAAAATCATCATAATCAAAGACTTCTCAAACTCAATTTATTTTAGTCGAGACTTCAAGTCGGTCTCCCTACCTTTGATTGCATTACTGAATATCTGAGATAGCAATTTACCTAATTCAGACCCTCGTATGTTTCATCTATAAATTTTGACAGGTTGAGCTCATCAAGGATATAATACCACTATCTAAGGCCTTCAAAAAACAATACTTTTGTCTTCCTCAGGTAATATTTGATTACTGGTAACCTTCTCAGTGATATCCATTAAACTTCTGCATTTGATTGTAATATCTTGAACTTTATGTACAACTATGTCCATCTATCCTTCTATAATATCATCCACTGTGTGCAACGTTTCGATTATATCGTTGTTTAATTCTTAGATTAAGAATTTGTCTTTTGTCCATGTTCAATAAGGTCTTAGCTACAGTAGGTAACACCTGGAAATAGTTATACCATCCCATAAGAAAATCTTGCAAAAATATTAAAAATTTATAGTAATATTAAAACATGGCTTAGATTTCAAAAGATGCTACTACTGTGTTCTACTCATGGGCTTCCGGGTAATATGATACTTCAATATTATTACCGTAGTTTAGACTAAGTGAACAAAGGAGTAGCCGACCAGCTGGACCGAGAAGGGAAAATGTTACAACTATTTCAGGTAGCCTGGTCTTCTCTTGATGAAATAACAAAGATGAATTGGGCGTGGTATACTCGAGAGGACCAAATGTCTCCCTTAAATTTTAGGATGGAAAAAGAGCATCTCAACAAGTAGATAGAGCGGAATGAGTGTAACATCTCGTAATTCAAAATAGCTAGGAATGAGCTAAGAATAAAAAATTTATCACTTTTGGAAAGAAAAGGGAAAATTTGGAAAATTTCCTAATTTTAAAAAGTGAGTTTTGGTCATTTTTAAACATCCATAACTTCTAGCTTAGGATGAGTTAGAGGTATTTCTTGTTATGGTTTGAAATTCCTTGGAAATATCTTTTTAACGGCGCCGAGTTTGCACAATTTCGATATCGTATGAGGGAGATACACTTTTCGAAAGTTGGGATGTTGAAGAAAGAAGAGTTTAATTCCAGATTTTAGTATGGGTAAAAGAGTCATTTTACCCACTCATTTCCTAAATCGTTTTAAGGGTTTCATTGGGGTAAACACAAGTTTTGGTCAGATTAGACAAAGTATTTTCATGCTTAGGTCTTGGGAGAAAATAGAAGAGAAGAAGAAGAGGGAGAAAGATCAAGATTTCGCCAAGAACGCCAATAGATTCTAGTGGAATTCGTCGTGGGTGATCCCTATTAAGGTAAGTGAGATATTTCGTGATGGATTAATTCATCCACAGATCAATCTTGGTTCAGCTTTGTAGTTTTAGAGTTGTTCATATGATTTGAAGTAAGTTCTTTATAAATGTTGTAGAATTCCTTTTGGTTGAGTTGATTGAATACCCATTGATGTTGTTTAGTAGTTTTCAATGTAGTTTTTGAGTTATATCTATTGGGTTATGATAGTATTGATGATCCTAAGGGTTTGGAGATAGAACTATGGAGGTTTAGGCGTTTTGGGATTTAAAAACGAGTTCAAAAATCTATTAGATGCACCTAGGCAAGCTTGGCGCATCACACATGTAGTGCACCAGAATTTGGCCTCAGTCAACTGGGGCCGGCGCGACACGCCACCAGAGCGCCATAATCAAGCCTCAACCTATTGATGTTGGCGCAACGCCCACCAGTACTTCCAAATCAACATATTCGCCCAGTTTTTTGTTGTTTAGTCTTTTCAAGTCCTTCCAAGATACATTAACATCTTCCAATGATTACATCAACTAATTTGTATTTTATATACATCTTAGACTAAGTTGTATTCCTATATACATTTAGAGTTACAACATGGTTCTAGATAGTTTTCTTTACATTGAACTTACTTTTAAATTGCATTATGTTGAAATGAGTTTGTTAGTCATGAATTGATCAAAGTCAAGGTATGTGTTCAGTCTTACTCCTTTTCAATCTTAAGTGGTATTAGCATTTCAATTCGCATACTCGTACATTCAATGTACTAATATTAGTTGGACTGCATCATATTATGATGCAGACGTAGGTAACTACGATTATCATTTGGCGTATGGCTGATCCAGTGAGCAGCTGAGAGTCAGTTGGCGATCCTCCCTTCATTTCGATGGACATCCTTATCATTTAATTGTGTGCTTCAGTTTTTAGCGATTAAGATGATAAGGGGTCATGTCCCTAATTCATCTTTACTTTAGAGTCTCCATACAAAGACAATGTAAGTTTTCATTGGTCTTTCATTTCATTTGTAAAGACTTGAAGTTACCATTTTGTATACGTACTGTTTCAAATTTTTCTCTTCAGTTATATCCTATGTTTTAGTCTTCCATGATTTAAGTAACATAGACCAAGGGTTCGCTCAAGTCCATCAATGGTCACTAGGTGTTGTCCATGTCCAGGGTGTAGTCTTGGGGTGTGACGATGTGAATATTAGAAATATGATGTCCCGAATGGAGTTCTTGAGAAACAAGTTCTAGAAAGTGTTGTTGAACATATATATGTAAATAAAGTGTTTAGACTTGAGGAGGGTTCTCACCCGAGCTATTTAAAGTCGGGTGTGAATCAAGGTTGGAAGTCACATAATAAAGAATAGAAGATATGATATAACAGAACAAAATGACCCTTGGAAAAGAGAAAATAGTCGTGAAGAGTAACACACACAGTAATGCTATAACCAACAATCTATGGGTAGTTCAGTAACATACGACTGGATGAATTGATGTCGCGTATCATAGAAAAGTTTGAAAGATGTGATGACATGCTTAATGAGATTAAGTCTGATATTTTCAATATTGAAAAATAAGGTCAATTCTCATGTGGATGTGATCAACCAACTAGAAGGTCAAATGAGTTAACTTTCTGCACAATTAGAATCCAAACCATTTAAAAGGAGTGAAGATGAGTGTGCAACAAGTTCAAGGGCTGATAATCCCAAATATATGGAAGTTGTGACTCTAAGTGGAAACGTAAAAGTCGATAATGGGAATGTTTATGATGGGATAAATTCTTATGAAGGGGAAAAAACATTTTCGAGGAAGAGGTTCGTTGAAGCACTAGAAAATTATATGCTCAAAGAGGAGGAAGAGAGTCCAGAGAAAATCCCCAGAAAAGAGATGAAAAAAGCTAAATAAAGGGCTACATCATGTCCAAAATAAGTACAACCTCTTCCCACAATAAATCTCCCATTCCCTCAATGTCTCAAAAAGACAAATGAAGATGAAAATTTCAATAAATTCCTATATATGTTAGACACTTTCTATAAACCTTCCTTAGTGGAAGCGTTATTGGAGATGCCGGGATATGTGAAATTCATGAAGGAGCTAGAAACTAAGAAGTGAAGCATAGACTTCTAAATAATTGAAGTTTCTCATAATTGTAATGCCATAAGGACTAGTGATGTGATTACAATGAAACTAGATTCGAGGATGATTGTATTATCTTGAGATTTATGCACCACTATATCTAGATATCCTACTATTATATCATCCTTTATGTCCAAAGTTTACATTCTTTAGCTGTTTTTTCCTTAGATTAGGAATTTTTCTTTTGTCCATTCTTAATAATGTCTTAGCTTCACTAGGTAACACCTGGAAATCATTATACTAACCCGTTAGAATGTTTTTAAAAATGTTAAAACTTTATTAGTAATATTAAATTTAAGAATATTAGGATCTCTTTGTCACAATCTGATTTGCTTGATCTTGATGGCATCTACTACACCCAACCAGTAGGTAAGCCTAGCCCTTAACATGCATCCATAAGCAATGGACTGACAAGAGGAGGCAAACAACTAATTCAGTTATTAGTTGAGCATCTAATTCAAAATATGAGCATAAGTACAATTAGAAGACAAGTATAAGATGTCTTTGAATACTATTCAAAGTCTAAGCTTCCAAAAAATGAAAGAAACATGTAGCCCTAGACATAAGACCTCACGCTAATATCTAAAACCCGAAGCTACTCCCTACGACTCCAAATCAACGACCATAAATCAAGTGCAATATGTAAGGTCACAACTAAAGGTACTCAATAGGCAATAACCTATTGAGCGAAAAAGATAACACCAAAAGTAAGACGGACAAGATACCACAAGTAACTAAATAGGAGATACTAAAAAGACAGAAAATAAAGAAAAAAAACAGGAAACACGGGGTAAGAAGCCGAGTCAAGAACGTATTTGGATCCCAAGCCAACAACCTAACCACCAACAACAAATATACCAATTCAACTAATATGTCACGAGGACCCATAACAACGATTCTAAAGTCAAAACCTACCAAATATCAATAAAAACATAGTAGAGTACAAAATATTTTTACATTAAAGTTGCAATAATTTGAAATGGGCCAAAAATTGAGTTAAAACGGAAATGTGAGACCCACATTAAAAGTCCCAAAACTGACTCAATCATAAGGAAATTAATCCTTAAACTTTTGTTCAAAAATTCAACACAATTCAAGGCTCAATGACATCCACAAAAACAATATGAAAAAATAAAAAGAAAACCAAGTCAAGGAATCGACTTTGAGCTCTAATTCACCTCGAACAAAGTTTCTTCAATGGCTTCTTCTAACACATACAAGTAGCCATGCTCCAAGAAATCACATATGACTTCAAATAACTCAAATCTGAGCTTGGATAAGGGAGAAATCACATTTTGAAAATAAAGGCCGAAAGATCTAATTTCATGATATCAATACCGAAAACTTGTCGCCAAAAATAAAATTTGGTCGCCAAAAGTCTAATTTCTTCTCATTAAAAGCACGTATCATATATTAACACTTGACAGTTTGGGAGAATCTATATAGATGTTTAAAAGAGTCCAACGGACATACTCTTGATATTTTGGAAAAATATATGTAAAAGTGTATCCTAGGCCAAAATATATCCATGTATCAATTGATGAGGTTTCAGTTAGTATTTGTTTGTTCGAGTTGAAACCACTATCATTAAACAATCATGAGTTTGATATTTCTACTCATTTATGGATTATTGTTCATGTTTTATTTCCGGAGAATATATTTTATAAGTTTTTGACGTTTTGAGTCGCCACTTAATATTTTAAGAAAAATTAAGAAAAAAATATAGTTTTCAAAAAGACTTAAACAGAAAATCCATTAGAAAACTTTTAAAGGGGTTCGGGGTCTAATTTATATTTTAGAAAGGTGTTTAAGGCACCTAAAATATCCGTTAATACAATTTTCAGGCGACTAACTTGTTTGGCTAAAATAATCTAACTTAAATTTTGAGCTGAAAATTATTTGGAGTTTGTTTTGAAAATTAAGCGTTGATTTTATTTATCTAATTGAGTTTTTCTTCTTGCGAAATTTTATTATATTTTAAATCCATTTAGACTTGATTGATTTGATTAAATTGTTAACACGAAATAATTCCTTGCGAGGATTTGTACTTTTAACATTTAGACTAACAACAAAGACTAAAGACAATTAGTTAACAAGTAAATAAGAAATAAAATAAGGGAGAGAGAGGGAGAGAGAGTTGAGTCCGAATCGGAATTCGGTCTGCCTCGACCTGTATTTGGACTCATTTGTTTTGGGCTTTTGGCCCATTCTACTTGTACCTATCCTAAACTAATCATACAATAATTAATAAATGAAAGGACGACAAGGGCTTAAGCCCCACGAAAAAAAGACAAAATACAATATTAGAAATTAAACTTGGTTTTCTTGGCCCAATATCTTGAACTTTTTCCTACTTATTAATTGAATAGAGGAATATAACAAAGAGTACTTACTGGCTCTTTGGGAACCTGGCTATTACCCTTGAATGGTCAAAACAAATAAGCCAAATACTGACAATAAAACTATGCTATCACAAAAAAACAATGAAGATTGTATTTCAGAAGAGAGAAAGACAAATAAAAAAAGGAACAACTGGAAATAAAAGCATGGTCCTTTAACCCCTTATCAAATTAATTGAGACAGACGTCTTGGGGTAAATAACAACATACAATCTTGAATTACATCTCACTAATGCATATTCGAAACACAATGAGTAAACCAGATACAAGGCATAATAGATCTAGAAATTATGCCAATAAGATAGCTAACATTATCCAACTTGTGACTACTTGTAGCAAGTAGTATAAAAACTAGAAAGAAGGATCAATTTGTATTCCAATTCATTCCAACGTGTAATAACATTATGAACTCAATTAGATAGTTTAAACATAAAATTTGAATATAGTGAGCATATTAGAGTGGGTCCAGATATCCAACACCAAATCATAATCTAAGAAATTGGAATTTTATATTGTAGTCAAGCTACTATAAGTTTGAAAAAAGCTAGGCTATCTTAAAAATCATGAGTTTAAAAAAATCATTTAAAGCAATAATATTTCATGTAAAGCGGAAATTTTATACCAAATTATATAGAAACGATTGTGATTTGAATCTAAAATCAAAACATACAGAAGCCTGAGAGTAACTCGGAAACTCAAAAGCCCAACAATTGAGATATAGGCTAAACGAACATAGAAAAAACATAAACGGATATCACCGAAATATGCATTTCTGAACAAAGAAAATGAACGATAAAAGAATGAGATTATCCCAACTAACATAGACTAAACGAGAAACAAAATGATTAACGAATAAATAAGCGGAGTTTAGAAAGAAACATCATATGATTTCGAAAAATGACACCAAAACATAAAAAAAAACAATGCTGCTCGAGAAGTAAAAATGAATACACAAAAGTAGAGAAGGGGGACGCTATAAACGAAATAAGGCGAGATTCTAACCTCTTCCAGTGCAGCGAACTAGACAAAGCGAACAAGAGGAAAACAATTTGACCACACCAGCAACAACAACAAGGAACATCGAAGAAGACTAACCGAAATCTCGAATCACAAATAAACTTGGCAAACAATCACTCGATTAACTGTTAGTATATTTTACTCGTAAAATATAGCTACAATCTTAAATGAAATCTCTCGCCTACAATATTTGAACGGAAATCAATGTTTTTCCTTCTTTACTGATTCTTTTTCTCTTCCAAAATTGTCCAACCCCGAAACAAATGAAGAAGAGGGGTATTTATAGGGTGAAAACTAGGGTTCCGAATTAGGGGAATGCAGGAGAATTTTCTGAAAAAGATTACGGAAAAAATGGACAATCACTTTAATTCAAAAGGTTCCAAAATTTCTGAAGGACAACCTGCTCCTCTGTACGAGAACTCAGCCAAAATGCTGCAGAATTCGAGTTCGGAAGCGATGTGAAAGGATGGGATCATCCTAATCATCCTTGTGCCCAACGTCGTGACTATCCACGAGCGCCAAAGACACTGGACGTG